TGAAGTAATTATAGCATCCAAGAATAGATTGTAACTCTCGAACGTTACGAGGGTAAGGCAAGTTTTTCAGTGCTTCAACCTTTTTTGGGTCAGGTCGAATTCCTTGTCCAGAGACAAGATGTCCTAGGAGTAGGATTTCCTCATAACCGAGTTGGCATTTTTCCAATTTAATCTTAAGATTATAGTTTTTAAGTCGGTTGAGTACCATTTCAGTATTTGTTAAAAGTTCATCGAAACTTTTACCAACGACAGGAACGTCGTCAAAATAACCTATGCACTTCTGATATATTAAACCATCCAGAACTTGATTCATCAGGCGCTGGAATATGAAAGGTGCAGATGCTAATCCCATCGGTAATCTCTTATATTGAAATTTCCCATCAGGGGTAACGAAGGCTGTCTTTTCTCTCTCGCCAATAGGTAACTCTATCTGATGATAGCCTTGTGCTAAATCGAAGATGTTGAAAAATTTTCCACCACGAACTACTTCGAGGCAATCGTCAATGCGAGGCATTGGATATCTCGGAACCTTGGTGATTCGATTTAGTTTGCGATAGTCGATAACCATTCTGTAGCTACCGTCTGGCTTTGAAACCAATATAGAAGGGGCACCACCGGGAGCAGTACTATCTTCGATTATATCGTTTTGTTTCATTTCATCGGTTAGTCTTTTGAATTCGTTACGGCGTTTGAGAGGGCAACCATAAGGATTTGAAAAGGGTACTTCTTGACCATCGAGGTCTATCTTAACTGGACAGACAGTTGAAGGTACTAGACCTAAGTCATTTTTATGTTGAGAAAAACTGGATTGGAAAGAGTCTATCAAGGAGACTAATTGTTCTTGTTGATGTTGAGGAAGGTTAGGATTAATTCGTTCAGCTACTCTATTTCGAAAGGGCTGAATTTTAATTTCTTTTACTTCATCTTCAGTGTGAAAATCACACTTAGCCATCATTGCTGCTGCATTATCAATTTGAACAGGGATAGTAACTGGTTTGGTTTGTTTATTTCGGTTGTCTATTATGTAGGTATCTTTTGCTGAATTATTAGGAATAGTAGTTGTATCAAAAATCATTTTGGTTTCTTCTGCAGTGCAGAATCGGAAGAAAAATGTAGGATCGAGAGGAGTAGTATTAACATAATCAGAACAGGTTGTTACGTATTCATTTCCATCAGAACGTATTTGAAAATAGTAAAGATGCAAAAATGCATTTCCAATTAAACACACCGGCTCGAAATCTTGAACTATATGGAGTCGAAAGATTCGAGATTCAAGCATCTTAGGGTGCTTGACAACTGCATATGCGAATCCATGAGAAGGGACATATTGCTTGGCAGCAATTCCTTTCAATGATCTTGAAAAGGGGATTACATGAACTCCAAGTTCTTCAGCTACTTTTGCATCAAGAGCTGAGATTGTGGAGCCTGTATCTAGCAGGACTCTGCCTTCTCGAACTAACTCGCGGTTTGGTCGACAAAGTTTGAAGACTGCTTGAGGCATATGAGCGAGGTTGGTGTCGCCTAAGCGTGTTAATAATGGAACTTCGGAAGTAGTTGAAAGGGTGAAAGAGATACCCGGATCTCTAATGGCATCATTTTCATTCATTTGATGGATTTGGGTAATAGCAAGATTTGAAGAAGGATTTTGAGGTGAAGATTGAGCGGGTGGAGGAGCTGTAATAGCTCTAACATTAGAAGGATTTCGGTTTTGAGAGGGTGTATTATTTCGAGGTTGGGGGTTTGCTTCATTATACATTCGCCTTCGGCATTGAGCAATAAGATGACCTGTCTTTTTACAATAAGCACAGGTAACAGTGTTTCTATTAGGATTAGGAGGAACGGATTGTGATCTTTGATAGGGTTTGTTTTCAGGTTTTCGGAGTAAGTTGTTTAAATTTGAAGGTTTGGAAGAATTGGAATTATTTGAAAATTTAGGTTTGAATTGCTTTGATTGTTCGTATTCAAAATGTTTACGAATCAAAAGATTGGTGATTTTAGGTAAATCATCAATAAGTCCTAAAGTATTTATTTCAGAAACAATATAAGAGGGTAAATGATTTAGCAATTCAAGCTTAAATATTTCTTCGGAATAGCTTCCGACAGCTTTAGTTAAGGAGGTTCGCAATTTCATAAGAAAAGTGTTTGGGTGATCGGAAGGATTATATTTTAATTGTCTCAATTGAAACTGAGCGCTATACTGCATTGCTGGGGTTTTTGCTAATCTAATAAGTTCATTTAAATAATTCTGATAATCATTGATTTCAGGAGAAATGGTGTTTGAAAGAGCTAAGATTTCGTGGGTCAATGATTTCTTAAAACATCTAAGTCTAGTTTGATCATCACAATTTTCTTGTGCTAATCTCTGTTTAGTGTTAGTAATGAAATCCAACATATCTTCATCTTTTTGAAAAGGCGTTACAATTGGGTCTGGTTTTAAGGAGGAAAGGGCTTGAACAAGAAATTGATTCTGTTGATTGTCATGGCTGACATTGGAAGGGGTAGAAACAGAACGGGGTCTTTCAATAGTAGGAGAATTAGGAGGTTGAGGAATAGGAGGGGGTTCGATGCGAGCACCGAGAGTTCGTAAAACTTCTATGAATTTACGAATTGAACCAATAGGAATTGGTAATGAATGAATGTCCTCATATGTAGAGTTTAACAATACCTCTCTTTCTCGTCCTATGTGTTGAATAACGGTATGAATTTCTTGTTCAGTCATTCCACTAGTACGACATGCTTGTAGCCAATCAGGAATCTCGGCAGCAGTTACGCTTTCGACAGACAGATCAAGTATATCTTCTTTAGATAGGTTTTCACCAGCGATCATACAATGAGTACGAATACAATCATGCAAACGCTTTATAGCAAGAATGGGTAAGCCAACAGATACAGACCAAGTACTGAGAATTTCAATTGCTCCAGCTTGATTTATACCAGCGACAGTTGGAATATGGTTAGGAAGACCAAAACGGTTTGCAGCTCTTGTGGTTCTTGTCATATTGATTGATTACAGAATTTGAATTGTTGAAAAGAGTTCGGAAGATGCAGTAAATTTATATCACTAAAGTGATGGTAAGAAGTTTGGATTTTGAAATGGAAATTGAATGTTTAGAGTTGAATTTGAATGTTGAATGGAAATTGGAATGTTTAATTGTTCGGGGTTTGAATTGTTCGGAATTTGAAATGTTGAATGTTGAATAAGCTGAACATGCAGCTTTTGTTGAAATTGAAATTTGAAGTTATATTCCTAAAGGAATTGTGTCGAAGAGAGTCAGAGTCTTGGTTCTATCACGAAATAGTTGATCGAAGGATCCTTTCCGCATTTACTTAAGATCAGGAGTTAAGCACAATTTTGAATTTTGTAAGAACTTGAGAAAGTGAGAATTTTGAATTTGAAATTGAAAGATTGTGGACTTAATTTTAGAGAATCACTTAAGTGAAAAATACAGAGATATTGAAGGAACACAGAGACTTGAGAAAACACAGAATTGTTGAGGTCAGGAAACAATGACGATCCTGCCAGAGTCGCCAAGTGAAAGGTTTCTTTACGGTAGGCTTCTGATTCAAAGACTGCACAATTAGCTTTCACTACTAATTTTAGAGTTCGTATACAGGATCACCAATAGTTCACTGATTAACTTAACTTTTCCGCGTTTCGAGAATATCTCAAAAGAGATGAAGACACAAAATATAATACTAAAGTATTTAGGAATATATAACTTTAATGAGTTTTGAACAATTATAAGAATAGCCTGAATTTGGTTAACTTCATAAGAGAGGTAAGATGGCTGAATACAATGAGAATTTGTATGAAATTAAGGAAAGGGGACTTCAATGACACAAATTAAAGATGAACAGTAAAGGAGTGTAGAGAAGTGAAAAACAGAATGAATATGGGGTTCTATTTATGTGAATCTTAAAACAAAAGAGAAAATTTGGAGGGAAATAATTAAGAAAGTGAAAAGACTTCTCTGTCTGTAAATGTCTGGTAAATTGGTGATCGTACCATACTCGTATGACTAAGGTGATTTCAACACTCTTTAGCGTTACCAAAGCTATGGCGTCTTTCAACCTTATACATGTCTAAAGACATCATTGGGTTAAACCATATCTCAAGAGAGATGGAGATAGCCTTTTTAGTATAAACCAGATTAAGGGGTAAAAGTAATCAGAGGTTAAAAAAGGGAATAAAAAGAGAGTGATTTTTCAGTCTCTTTCTTTATGGCACCAATTTTATGCTTCTTAATTTTGTGGTAAAATTAGTTGGATCTTGTGGTCAACTAACAACTAAGATTAGACTTATTTATCTGCACTTTTACACCTTAATTAATATATCCTAAGATATTGAATTTCATGGTTAGAGACAGAGAGGCTTCCATATTGTTAGAGCAATTTAGGGAATACAATAAAATGAAATTAAAATGAATTAAAATTAATGATTAAATATAAATGAATCTAAAGATTTCAAGTTGAGAGAAAGGCATTGAACAAATTTCCTAAGTTCAGTTTCCTACCCTACATTCCCTAAAGTTGAATCAACAAATTTCCAGACAAATTTTTCTTCTTAACTTTTAAACACAATTAAACTCAATTAACCTTGCAATCAACTGTTAGCCTTAAGCCTTTCAACAATTTTGTCAACTCGTTAAATGAATCAATTAGTTTTCATCAAAGTTGATTGAAACAATTGAATTGGGTTTTTGCTCATTTCAAATGTTTCTTCAACTTTAATAAAAAAATATTCATTAATTCAGATTAACTTTCACCAGTTTTTCAAGTTTATCTTAAGCTTTTTGTTTAATTTGCTTTCAATCCTGAGTTTACGATAACTGGAAACATGAATAATACTTTCAATGTTGACAATATTCATGGAAGAGGATTGCTTCAGGCTTTTGATCCATGTTTTATTGAATAACAAAAGGTTTTTGATATTTTAATATCTTTTTGTATTGTAACATTTGTTTATCAGTTGATTTAGTATTGATTAAAGTTCAACTTACCAGAATGAAAACATTGAAGATATCAACTGACACAATCACTTGGTTAACAATCATCAGTTAGTTTTCAATTGTTGAAGTTAATTGCTATTGGGAAAAGATGCTTTTGCAGGTTGATTATTTTTAATGTTTTATCCTTTTGGTTTGGTAAAGTTTAGTTTAACTGTTTCTTTCCTTTACTGATTTTTGCCCTTTCAAACTTAATCAGTGCAAGTCGAAACTGTGTAATTAATCAATTCACTGTTAACATTTGCTTGACAACACACAGATTTGATATTTGATTAATTGTTTGGGTAACATGACAAAAAGACGCCACTGAAAGTGAAACTGGAAACAAGTTGAGAGCCAAAAAATGCATAGCAATTGTATTAACATTGGCAAACTGGATTCATGTGCATCTCAATGTAACTTGATATTGATAAACATTTAGCGCATTCTCGTCGCAATGTTTTACTTTCCAGTTTACTTTACTCTATTCAATTGAAATACTCATGAAACAATGGCGGACTCTGATGTCTGGTTAGTCATTTAATTGAAATTCATGAGCATCAATTTTATTTTCATTTAAAACATTTTACAATTGCAGAGCTTCAAATGGCTTCATGTCTTTGACCTCTTCCATGTTATTACATTCAGATTTCATCTATTAACCATTCAATGCTTATTAAATTTACTATTTTTGTCATTTTTGCTAATAAATTATTGGCTTTCAATCGGTCATTTTAATGAAATTAGCTAGTTCCAGGTTGTAATGTTTATATTTATTGGGAGTTAAAGATATAAAAATTGAATCTTTAGCATTATGGGAGTTAGTTGGATCTGTACTGAATATGTTAGTTTATGGTTTCTTTTTCAGTTTTTTATGCAATTTGCTTGGTCAATTTTTTTGTGGGATTCTAAGCGGTCAAAAATTTAATCGATTTTGATTAATATATGTAATTTGAGCATTTGATTGTTATTAATTTTTGCTTTGAATTTAATTTGTTTTGTTTTTAATCATCGATAGATGGTGCTTTGTTGCTCTTGTGCTGCTATCTGTTGTTATATACATTGGAAATTGGACCTTGTTATGAAGGTTGTTATTTGTAATCATTTGTTTATGTGTGGACCATTTGTTTATTAATTGAAAATGGCTTCTTTTAAATTGTTAATGTCGTCATTACCGGCTCGGTTTATGGTCTCTCGAGCCTCCGAGTCTCAATTATTGACTCGGTTAAATGGTAAAGTGGGTATGATGTCAGCTGCTGGTATTTGCCACAAAGATAGGATGGATCCGGTTGCCGTAGCCGTTAAACCTAAACCATGGCCATACAGAGAGAAACAAATTAAAAATTGGAGATTTTGGCTAACTGGTGAATCTACAACTGATAGATTTGATGAAAATACTGTAATGGTTACCATTGAAGGTCTACCTGGATCGGGAAAATCTGCATTAGCTAAGAAACTTGCTGAAATGACAAATATGTATCATCAACCTAAGGCTAACTTCGACTTTGTTTATATTAGACCAGATGGCTTGGATTATCGCATTTTTAACAAAGTCTATTTTCCTCAAGCTCAATATCCTGACTTAGATATGTTCTTTCAAAATCCAAAACATCCGAAAATGGGTAGAATGCAATTATTGTTGTATAAATTGAGATTCTTCCACTATTTGGAGGCTATGATTCACCTGTTTAATACTGGTCAAGGTGTTATTATGGAAAGAACTCCTTGGTCTGATCAAGTTTTTGCGGAAGCTATGCATAAATGTGGTTATCTTAATGATGAAAGTAAGTTAGCTTCAGCCATGTAGATATGATTCTAATATTATTTTGTTCATTTCAGCTTGGAGGTTCTATACTATAGTAAGACATAACACTCAAATTAAAATTTGGAGACCACATCTTGTTATTTACATTGATACACCAGTTGAAACAGCTATGAAAAACATTAAGAAGCGAAATAATGTAAGTTTTTGCTAAGCAAGTTTACAAACATATGTGAATTTATCGTTCAATTAATATGTTACTTTTTGTCTACAGCCAAACGAAGTCAACAGTCCAATATGGAATACTGATTTTATTAAACATATTGATGAAGGTTATAAAGAAAGGATTTTGCCACAATACGATGAGCACTCTCATGTAGTAATTTATCCATACAAAGATGAGCTAGATGCTGATTCGATTCTTCAAGACCTCGAGAAAATTGACCTTCAAGTTTGTTTGAGTTCGGTAAAGTTATGTGATTGGCGTCTTGGGGATGAAAATGAGTGGAACGATTGGAGGCTAACTTACACAAATGAAATTGAAATGTGGATGGCCAAGTTCAACCTTCCAACTTGGGATGTTGAAGATTTTGATTATTCAAGCGAAGCTAAAGAGATTCACCTGCAAACTGAAACAGCTTTGGTAAGTTCAATAGTTTACTTCACTCGTTTATTCAATTTTCGATTGAAATCTAAATTCTCTTTATCTCTACCTCTCTCGTTTATTTACAGGCTCCTGGTTACTGGCCAAACTTTGATCCTGATAGACATTCAGTCTGGAATTTGGCTTTCAAGCGAGACAATAACTACTGGCAGGACAGAGCCATGAATTTATTCAAAGCTTACACTCCTTAATTGTATAAATGTTTACTTGTAAAAATTATCTACGTCATGATTCAGTTTCGGTTGCTTTATTTTAGTGATATTGAACCATCAACTAAATTCTAATGAATAGTAATAAGAAATGAAATTTGGAAAATTATTGCAGCAAGAATTGAATCTTGATTGTAATACAATGAAGATATAAAATTAAATGATATTATGTACGAATGAAACTTTTGATGACAATCGCAGATCTTGGTAAAAAAACGTCAATTTTGAAGTGTCTCGGGTATTAATGTAATCCCACTTCTGGTCATCATGCAGTACAACAAAGAATCAGCAAGAATTCTGATTTTACATGTTTTTAGATTAATTGTTCTAGTATTTTCTCAACTGTTTCAAATCAACGTATTAGTGATTCGTTGTTTAAATGATTTGGTTTTTTGCTTGATTTAGTAAATTTTAAATTTTTCTTAAACTTTCTCTCTCTCGATGGTTAGCCTGAATTAATTGATACCAATATAAACAACATTGAGCTGTGAAGAATCCTTGTATTATCCAAGTTGTATACTCCTGCAATTAAACTCTCGCTAGTCACATTATCACTTATGATTATTTTTGGTTTTTCAAATAATCAATATTTTAAACACTATTCATCATCTATGATGAGTCATTAGTAATGATAACGGGCTATTTAAGAGTAAGAGTTAAACCCTTTTTATCTAATGTAAGTATAGGGTGATAGGTCAAATGGTCAATAATCTTCGTACAATCTTCATACGAAAGAAACAGCTTGCAAAGACGATTTATTTAAACTGATGGTTTTTTAAGGGATTAAATTCGATTGATAAAGTAAAAAAATATCTTGGATTTACAAAGAGTAGTTTATTGAAATAACAAATAAATCAGATTACAATAGTCGTATCAATATTGATAATTAATATTGTTGGTTGGAATTGTTAATATTTGAAATTGGCGCAAAGATAATGTTTTTTTGAGAAGCTTTGCCTTCAAGCCAAAGAGTGAGGCTCCCTTCATATCTTATGATCACTTGAAGGTTCTTTCTCTTCTCTTTCGTCAATTTGTGTCAATCGATAGATATTTAAATCTTGAAAATCAATTTTTATTTTTTTCTCCGTGTTTCAGAGTTTCTAATAATTTCTGCTTGATCATTTATTATATTGTTTCCATAATCTTTCAAAACAGTGACTATGGCTCGTAGAACCGTTGGTGGACCATATTCTTATTCTTATGGACTTTCTTCCTCTTATTCTACTGACAATAATGCTTCTTACCAAAGTGATTATAGCAGCAGTCAATCTAGCTACAGAGATTCTAGCCAAAGAGAATCAAGTGGATATGATAGACCTCAGACTTATGGTCCAGAATTGTCCAACATGCGGGATGATCTCCGGGGCAAAAAATTATACTCAACTTTGGAGCGCATGAATGCTAACTCAAACACTGATGGCGCATCAGAAGAAATGATGAGGCTATTTCCGCCACCAGAAAAGAGATTTTGTCCAACAAGTGATAAGCCTGTTTATAAAAATGGCGTTTGCATTCCCAGACAAGATGCTCTGTTGGTCGAGATGGTCCTGAACGACAAGGCTACTCTTGGAGCGCAGCTTGATGTCACAAAACAGCCCATTGTAGGGTTGAATTTTGTCAATGAGTACATTGACCCTGAAGGTGGTTTGCGTATCTATGAGTGCTCATTGTGCAAAACTTTTCGAACTGTCAACACCATGATGGAGCATATTACTGGATATAATCATAGGGTCAACTACATTCATAAACAATTTCCGTCAGAGGTCAAAATGTTCCTTCTTCCTGATGGGCGGACCAAAAACCGGAATAAAGCTCTCATGACTATTGCTTCGAAGAGATGTTCTGAGCTCGAGCTTGTGTATGGAAGAGGAGATGTCACAATCATCAATGAAAAGCCTAAGATACCCGCAGGAGCTCTCGATGCATCAGAAAGTGATGTTCTTCCCGAAGATCACTATAAGAAACTTGAAGAATTAAGAAAAGACGTAAAAAAATACACTGACCTAAAAATTGAAACTGCTGAAGAGTTTCGTTTGGTTAGAAACTTGACCTCCTCATTGACCAATGCCATGTGCGAATTTAAATATATACAAGAGCAGCAAGAACAAGCTCAACAGGATGCATAATTACAACCTGTCCGAGTTTCTTACACAATTTATATTGAATTAGCATCACTCATTCAGTATCGTAAAAAATTTACAAATATCATCTCAAAAATCATCATGATAACCATGATAACCCAATGATATTGATGTATGCATATTTTCAAATAAAGACATACTTCAAATTAATCATCTTCTGACTATTGTCATGAATGAGATAATATTCAATTATTCTCACCTTAAATATGATAAAAACAATGATAAAATAGTATCAGAAGACAAATATTGTTTCATAATTTCTCAACGATTTTCTTGTAACTTTGTTCAGCAGATAATTTCTTAATTCTCTAAATGCTGTCAATAAATAAACTTTAATAAACGATTGTGTCAACAGATAAATAAATAACAAGTTTACATTAGCTGTTTTCAATCTGAATTAGTATTACACAATTTTAATTTTAGCTTAGAATCGGTCCCAGAGACCAATAATTGATATACTCAACAATTGTTGAATCACAGGCTAAGGAAAGGACCAGATGCAAGAAATTGATCCTATAGACTCAATCGAGATTGAGGAACTTCGATAATTTCTATAATTTAACAATTCGCTAACCGAATAAAGCTCTTTTTATTCGAGTTAAAATTCCAACGTTTTCCTCTTTTTGTATAAATTTCTTTCCTTCTGTTGTGTTAGCTATACCATCGATGGTACCTATAGTATCTTCTTCTAATTCAGCATATTGCTGCCAAATTTGTTTTTGATTTCTAGACAATTTTACTGGAACTTTGATTACAAAATGTACAATGTGATTACCATAAGAGCCGTCATCCTGAGGCCAGCCCCCATTTTTAAATGCTATAGCATCATGCGATGAAGTTCCAGCTGGTATATCAACATTAAAAGTTGTATAGATTCCTCTTACTGATGTTTTACCACCTAAAACTGCTTGACTGATACTGATTTCATTTTGAGTGTGAATATCATAACCTTGCAAACTAAAATAATCATCAGGTTTAATTCTACATGTTATTAAAATGGTTTGATCTCTAATGACTAGTTTCAAGACCTCACCATCTCTTACTCCAGGGGGAATATTAAAAGAGGCCATTTTTTGTTGCACTTGGTAGCCTTTTCCTTCGCAATCTGGACAAAGGTGTCTTATGTATTCACGACTTCCTCCACAAGCTCTACACTTTATTTTACAAACAACAGGCTCAGTTGAGATGGTTTCCAGGCCATTTTCATCGCAAAACGGGCATAAAGTGGCGCGAAACCCATAGGCTGATCTTGCTCCTGAAATAAACAAAAAATATAATTTAATTCAAGACCAACATTCGAATAAAATATAAGAAACTGAGCTGAAATCCGATAATTACCGTCACACATGTAACAAGTATCGATTGTTCGTATCTCCATTTCATGTTTGCAGCCTTTAGCGGCTTGCTCAATAGTCAATGGTATGATCAAAGATTCAGCGCTTTCAAAGCCCCAAATCGTTCCGGCAAATTTTTCTTCTTTTGGGACCTGGTTATTTGCATAGGGATTTTCAATATCACCAAAAATATTTCGAAATAAAGATTCAGCATTAACAGTATTTCTCATAAAACTAAAGTCTTTTGCACTCTCGTGTTTCTGATATTCAGAACTCAAGTCGTTTAAAACTTCGGCATCATATTTCGCCCTTTTTTCATCATCAGTCAATACTTGATAAGCTTCCAGTAGCTCTTGAAATTTTTCAGGGCTGGCAGTTTTAGATGATGTAGAATCTGGATGATATAACTTAGCAAGCTTTATGTAATTCTTTTTAATTTCCTTTTTATCAGCTCCTCGCGAAACACCGAGGATTTCATAGTAATTCTTGCGCTTTTTAAATCCAAAGACAGTGGATATATTTGATTGCTGTTGGAAGTTGAAAATGACTCGAGCAGAGGTTAAGAGTTTTAAATGATGACGGTAAAGATGACACATTAATGATCTATTAATTGTTCAACAGACTTAAAGGTTAATCAGCGATGTAAACAAATAATCTCTGATGTATGGTCATAATCATGTGACTCCCATGTGTTATCGATATAACAATCGATATATTGAATGCACTTTTGCTCACATCAAAGAGTGAAGGAAGAAGAGACAGCAATTCAATACAAAGTCTGAACGAAAATTTTTTTTTGGTGTCAGAAGATGGCGCGAGAAAGAAACTCTTTCTTTTACTTTCTACACAAAATTTTTTACTCTCTTTTTCTCTTATATTTCTCTCTCTTTTCATCATCAAAAATTAAATTAAAACAATAAATGTCAACATTAGAAAAGGGTTTTTTGATAAATTTTAATTGATTTTAATGGTTTAGATGCTATGATTTCTAAATTAATGATAAAGTGATGATTTAACAGAAAAATGTGTTTAAGGCTAACAAAATCTGAGCTAATCAAGCAAAAGTCTATCAAAAAGTTTTCATAATCATTTAATTACGTTTGGGACTATTTTGGCTATTCTGCTATAAATTCTGTATTCATTGAATTTACAGTAGTTCACCTTTACATAAAAAAATGATGAATAACTTGTCGTTAGTACATTGTTGGACGGATCTATCGGCTAACTAATTTATCATTAAATTATGAATCTAATTTTAGTCTTGAGATGTATTTTATCGGCCATATTTTTATTGTCATCTGTTTGGCCAATGTAAAATGGACCACTCACTGTTCCCCGTCAAATGTGAAACTTGATTTTGGAATTAATCTTGCTTGGTAGAAACACTCCCTTGAAGCTGCAGCATCCGATTCGATTCCAATGTCAACATTTGTTATGACTTCATCTAAAACTGAACCAGTTGCGCAACTAACAACCAACGTTATGTCTTCATGCGAAACTGATGACCAACTTACAATTGTGAATCGCTCAATATGTATCACATCAGTAAAAAACTAATTTGTAAAATACCTTATATTGAAGCATTTGTAAGCCATGGTCCATTACAGGAAACAGAAGATACACAAGCTTTTGAACAACCGGCTTTTGAAATTTTTTCATTCTGGTTTGGAACATGATTATATCATAATCAAGATAGATTATGTAGTAAATTTGTGCACCATAGCGAGGATACTGGTAAAAGGCGAATACCGGGCAAATAGGCAAATACCTGGTCAATTTTCAAAAAAAGCATGCACAATTTTAAACTGACCAACACAACCGTCACAACTAACACATATTTTTGACCAGTGTCATACCTTTTCTTACCAAGTAATCTTTACTACAGTAAAGTACCAGATAGTGTCGTTCCTGTGAAATAGCTTATTTACACTACAAATGCTAAAAAACAGGCAAATAGTCAAGTCAAGCTCACTTTATTCGAGGTAATTGAAGTAATCGAATGTTACTTGGTTGATTAGATCATTTGCGTTTACACAGTTATTAATACTAATGTTTGACAATAAATTTAATGTTTGATCAAATATTTTGATTTGAAAGATCTTATTATTCCTGCATCGAGAGGTTGAGTGGCAGAGGTAGAGGGCGGTGGAAGAAACTGGAATGTAATGTTAGGGTAATTTTCAAAGTCAACTTTGTGACCTTTGAAGTTATCAAGTATCAGGACTACCTTTTTATCTTGTTCAATAAGAGTATCATGCCAATTAGCAAGCCATTGCTCAAAGATACGCTTATCCATCCAAGCGTTTAGCTAAGATGTGTAAATTAAATTAAGATCATCTAGACATCCAGGGGGTATGATGATCCAAGTGCTTTGACAATTGCCGAGTTAGGATCCTAACGAAAATCATTAGATTTAATTTTGAGCAAATAAGGCAAATTTATTTCAGGATTATGCGGAACCATAGTGACTGTTGGTTTTCCTTCGTGCAGCAGACTTTTAACTGTTTCGTGAGAAACATAATCACAAATTTCATCATTATCTTCATCGGTATGATCACTCATTATATACACATATATCAAAAAGATTAATTAGGAAAAATAGTAACTACAAAAAACAACAAAAATACTGATTTAATAATAGTTGAATTTCATTGCAATTTAAATAGTTGTAAAAGATCAACATATTATGTTTATTTTTTTCGGTTTCTTTATTTGCCGGTATTCGCCTTTTACCCGTATCCCCATAGCGACTCTTTTGGACTACAATAATATTTTGATAGATGATTGTGAGCATCGTTTTAAGGAAAATTTTTCCATTGAAAATCTCCCTATCATTATACCTCAAGAGTAGTGAATTAGTTGGGAAGAGTCAAAGGGGCGGGACAAGAAAAAAGCAATGAAACAAAATTAAGTTAAAGTTTCTTGATGTTTTATATTTTTCAAATTAAATAGAAAACTTTTACATTTTTTGCTTTTTAACGCAATGGTTTGGATTGATCGAGTAATCCTCGAACTTCCTCTTACCCTGTTTGTCTCTTTTTAAGAAAGAGCAAATTGAGCAATTTTCTTTCGCAAAAGCAGAGAGAGGGAGTTCGAGAGGTTCACTCGATGAAACTGAGGATTCGTCATCAGATTCACCAAAAATTGTTCTGATGTCACTTTCAAATGACGAACCCTCAGTTTCGCACAACATTTCTTCCTCAATATCAGTTTCAATGGTGAATGATGGTGATGGAGGTGAAATCAAATCCTCTTAAAGCGGTGCAGGTGAATACGATGGTGATGGTGGTGGCTGAGATTGAGGTGGTGGTGGAGTTGAAGACGGAGATGGAGTTGGAGACGGATAATAAATGGTATTATTTCCATTAACGGTAAGTTGGATTTCGCAGTTATGCGAAATCGAAACACTTGTCACACTACTGTCACGAACAAAACGTCATTATCATTCATGATAAATAAAACGAAAGATTAATGAAATGACTGGGATAAACAGAATGAAAAATCAAGACTAAAAATTCAGAAAAATGTCACAAATAAAACTGATCTTGAAACTTGGTAAACTTTGGTATCAAAGTATAATACTCTTCCTGACCTTTGTTGTTCTATTCTTTGCAGTAAATTAAAAAGTTCTAAATGTGCATAAGCTGTTACGAAACTTGCAACAGCAATGTTTGTTTTTGACTGTGGTGCTTTATCAGTGTGATCCTCTGAATATCTATGTTGAGCAATGATAACTGAATCAGTTACTTGGTTGACACCTAAAACTTCTTGTGTATCATCGTTCATTAGAGTCCAAAGATCTGCATAATTACGCATTATAGAGATCAAAAATGCTTTAAAATTAAGTCTAAATTGATTAGATAATCAATTGTATGCGTATCCTTTTTTGAAAGTGTACAAAACTTAATGTCCGTGGCTGTATATTATAGCACAAATATGAAATGCAACAATGTTTTGCGTTTAAATTGTGGCTAAACGAAAAGGGTACTAAAAAATTTTGTCATGATTCAATCATAACAGCGGATAGTTAGTTGAGGTTTCTCGGAATGCAGGCTCCTGACAGATTCACGGCGAAATTCATTCACAATCTTCTTCGGCTAAGGAACCAAATTTTTTTTCTCATTTTGTCGATGGTCAGTTGATCGCTAATTTAAGTCTTTTCAAAGTGAATTGAATTTATTAATATTGTGCTCAGTAAATTAGCGATCAGTCATGAATCATGATCGAGAGTCCGCTTGTTTCATTAAAACATTTGTTAAGCAATTTTATTTTATTTTGTTCAATAACAAAAGTCATCAGCATTGAAAGGTTATTGTATTTAATTTGAGTCTTTAATTTATAGTAAAAGTTGAATATTTCAGGATTAATTAGAGGTTTCCTTCAAAAGGTAACATTAGCTGGGAAAACCGATTGAGATTGAAGTTGAAACTTTCTCTTTTTTATATCAATCTATTTTATTCTTATTATCATCAAAATTAAAATTAACTGGTAAGTCAACTTTTCGAGTATCCATTAACGATGAATAAACTACTCTTATTTCATCGTCATCATCATCATCATCATCATGATCACCCTTCTGAACATACAGTTCCCGGTTAACTCCGGAAAAAGTGAGCTTTCTGTTCAACTTGCGATTCAGCTGTAAATAAATTGTGAAAGTGAATTAACTGATGAGAGTTTGTTAACATCCTTTCCGCCTTCCGTATACAGTTGAGTGTAAATAATTCAAAATATAACAAATCACCATCTATTTTGGTTACAATCAAAAGTTGAACATGAGCTTCAAATTATAATACTTGATCAATCAACCGAAGTACACTTTTTTCAACCTTATCAACACTAAAACTCTTTAAGTCTCTTTCTTTCTTTTCCTGAACAGCGACGATTAACATTGATTAAATGCTGTTAATTTGATTAAACACCTCTCCGTCACTTCTCCGTCATTGACTGCCGTCTAAGCATTAAAAGCTCAACATTCACTGCAAGGCTTAACACCTTATCCAAACCGGACGATCTTTCACCTTTTCTGCCATTTAAAATGATTGTTAGTTTCAAACAACATTCGTACTACAATTTAAAGTTCATTATCATTGCTGGTTCACTTTTACAATTTGATTAAGAACCAAAAATAAACCAAAGATCAAACCAGCACCAATTATACTAAAATGAAGTGATTTTAACCTAAAGATTGGTTAACATTGCAATAGCATTTTCCTAGTCAGAACCTAGAGCATTTGGACTTCCCAATCAACCTCTGGTTAAGTAAAAGTAAATTCATGTTTATATCAGCAGTTTAATTTCATAGATGATCTTGAAAAGATATTGATTCAAGGTTGGAATGAACCAAAGTCAACTAAAGACAATCATCTCAACAATTGATTAACCTTAAAACAATTGAAATGGCCTGATTGTCCATTCACACTCAGATTTATTACATGTTCAAAATACATTCATTGTTCATCAAATGGCATTGGCCAAGTTCATTGATCTCAATAGCCAAGTTCATTGAATTTCAACTGGACAATTTTTGTGTCAATTTATCTTTGAATGCTTGGTTATGCTCGTAATACAAATTATAATCACCATATAAATTGTAATTAAAGTACACTTTTAAGCGCCTCTATTTTGTTTGTAGCAGTTGAGTGGGCTGATAAAGCGTCCATTGTAGGAGTAGGATTGCTCAAGTATGTTATGTTTCTGACCAGAAATCAAATTGATAATGATTCAGATTAGTATAATGATCAAGAATGGATAAAAAAAGGATAAAATGGTGAACGAGTTTGACAAGCTTCATGCAAGTGAAAGTACATTTCCGGGCATTTATTTTTAACTTTCATTACTTCTATATTTAGCCAATATTATTGATGGACTTTTTTGTCAAAAATATCCTTGAATCAGTTTCAAACTTAATCATTGCTAAGAACAAGATCAATTTGAAATTGCATCGTAAAGCGTTCAAATGTAAAACAAAGCTAAGCCATTGGAAGTCAAAATATCCTAAAGAAACAAAATAAATTTTCTGGTAAAACAAATTTCAACTGAAAACACAATTATTGATGGATATTTAATGATGTCATTGTAATAGTTAATACATCAAAACAACAGTTGTATCAAGGTTAATAGTTTCTAATAAATATACAATTTAATACGAAATGCAATGATTTGATTGTTCAATCTGCACTTTTGTCAATTTTTGTTAACCAAAAGATTCCATGAACGGAAGAAGATACTTCTCAAGAAGCTGTAAAGGGACCGGCCTCTTTCCACAAATCCACCACTTTTCATCGCAATGTCTACCCGCCATATCTAACATCCACCATTCCTCACCATCATATTGATCCGAAAAGCAATGAACGATTTGGTGCGCGGGGTGAAGCCGGTTCTGCGGTAAAAAGTTTTCATTCGCACTCAAGCCACGACTTTTGGTTTAAAAATAATGGCTTTGAAAAAGTGATCTACACTTTAATAGTCAATCAATGACAATTTTAAGGGTCTCACTAAAAAACCAAAGACGACCAAAAAACCAAAATAACCAAAATGTACCAAAACAAGGTAAATCTTTCGATTTATGATTTGGGACTTTAGGGGGTTTGTAGGGACACAAAAACTGAGTCCTTTAGTGCTATCAAAAAATTTCTGTGATGGACAGTTTTCGAGAAAATTGAAGTTGAAAT